AAGCCCACCAGCAGCCTCAACACAAACAGCAGGGCTGTGCAACACGCTAGACGCATCATCCTGAAAGAATGCACACACATATAAATAGATAGGGATAATGGCCTACAGGCTGCAGACCCTAGCTAGTAATCACAATCATTTCATACCAAACATCAGTTCAGTGAGGGAAAGGTTACATGTGGTTTAAACAAGCAGAAGTGTTCTTGAATCTGAATCTTCACAGTGGTATTCAACACAACCACTTAACAATGTTATCTACTTTGATTTTGTTTACACATCCTGTGCCCATTTCAGTCCAGTGACTCAGCTCTAGTAGACTGAGATTGTAGTGAATGAGGACAGGGTCGTTACGGAATAACATAATAAAATGAGAGTAATTTACTGTATGTTGTCATCTTGTATAAAATCTGTAAGTGGCCATAATCATGTAAAAAGTGAGTACAAACACTTTGTTAATAAACAATTACACAAAGGATTATAGTACATCTTTTTACATGTGCAAAGCTGGTAAAACCAAGAAAACTCTTGAGTTCCCCTTTCCCTTGGAGTTGAACAAAGACCAAGGCTAAAGAGACCTTGGGGAAACCCTTACTCAAAGTGAAATAGTCTTTTCTTGACAGCTGAGAGCAATAGAGGGCAGCATGTGTTGACGTTGGTGTTCAGTGCCACCTGATAGCTAGGAAGATGATCCTAAAGCAGTAAAAGATAGGTTTACTCTGCTTATTATCTATTCATTAGTCTACTTAGAAAAACACTGGGGGGTTATTTCCGTTTATCATTATGGAACAACAACTGGGCCTTTTTTAAAGCCTAATTTTCTAGAGTCAAGACGCTGACAAGATATTTATCGCTCTGCCCCCCTGCGTACGGCTGTGATGGTGATGATGGCTTTATCATGCCAATTCAATCACTGTGCTGCTATTTAAAAGGTAGAGCGACGCTCTTTGTGGAAGATTAAATTACTCTAAACGTCCGACGGATCGAAATGACAGGATTTGTATCATGGCAGGGGAAAGAAATGCAGTAAGGAGGCAGTAACCACTTCGCAGTTGGAGAAAAAAGCCTCATCATTCGCTGTTGCTACACCCGGAAATTTAAAAGGCGCGTAGCATCATATTGCGGTAGTGGAAGGGGAGAGCATAGGGAGGCTCAACCCACAGTTTTTTTAGACTGCTCCAACCATGCCATGTGCGCTTTCAGACAGGGCCTTCAATCGTAACCCGGTTGGACAATATTTATCGGGCTAACCTGATGTAGGTTATCATGGTAACAGGCGCGCCGGGGAAGCAGGATGCGCAGCGTATTGCGCGCATCGGCTTAGCAAGGAAGCGGATGGACAGTGTGACAGCACCAGCAACCCCTCTCTCTTTTAGGATGAAGAGACACGCTGAATATGCTATCCACATTCACATAAGTTACCCTTCATGGACCGATAGCTGCCTGATATTAAAGTCTTGAGCCACCTATCGAGTCCCGTTAGAAGGTTGGGCGCTCACAAGGTTGACAAAGGACGAGAAAGTCATTGCCGGACTCTCTCCCTTTCTCCTAGCAAATAATAACCGGACCCATCCGTGAAGTTGAACATAACGGTGGCGCTCAGTCAGCTTGGACTGTGGCTGGGATGACCAGTTCTTTTTTTTTTTTGCTTACATACCTTGCACTTGGCTCACACCGTCACAGCATGTAGGTGCGCAGAAATCCCTGACGTGAAACTCGTTGTGTGCGATTCCACCTTGATCGGCTTATAGGCTAGCTTGGTCGCCCCCTCCGCTCCTCGCCGCCGCTTGCTCGGGTTTCACAGAGGCTCACAGAAACGCACAGAGACAGACACACGCACCGGGATCCCCTCCTGTTGTTAATACCACAACGAGCTGCTGCCGCTGCTCCTCCTCTCCTCCGGTGGGTCGGGAGTCAAATTCGTTTGGCTGTGCGCGTCGACTTTGACCCCGCGATCATCATCCGTTCATTGTCACAATCACTGATATCATTTCTGGGTTCATTGTAGCCGATAACCTCGCTAGCAAGCGTAATTCAAATGACCTTATAATTTTCTTAGCTGCGCCCGCCCACCACCGTCAGCGTGCCGTCAGTGTATCAGGAATAAGCGCTGACGGACGGGTGCCAGGGCCAATAGGAGAATGCGATTTTTTTTTTTTTTTTTTTTTACTTGTCCCATCCGGCTAGGGGCGGGGTTTGCGGCATTGGTGAAAAGGAAATGCGGCGCGGCCCTGCCTGCTAGCCCAACAGACAGCGAGGCAAGCACGCACAGCAGTCTGTATCCAGTAGTGACAAGGCCCTGATGCGGAAACGTGTGGCATAAAACGAGCCCTGCCTCTGCTCGTAGAGTCCGCCTCACCACGTCCATTCATTACTCCGCGCTCTGCCACAAGATGTGCTTTAAATACCCATCTGTCACAAGAGGGACCCAAGGAATGAGGAAGGACACGGTATCATACAATATTGAGGACTATACTACCATTTGCCACTGTGGGCCTAGATCTACAATGAAAAATAAAACCTATGAGGCATGAGCCCACTGGTTTTCACTGCAACCGAACGCTACATCAGCTGATTTGGGTAGCTGTAGGGGTGGAGGTTGGTTGCTCAGCTGAAAACCTGCAGTTGTCGATGCACTCACAAGGCTGACAACTGATAAATGTGAAAATACAGTAGATGAAGCCTACACAAATATCTGGACTACAGGGGTAGACAGCATTGAAAGACGATCAGAATTGTGCCAAGTGACATGCCAACCCTTAGTGGATATGAAAAGAATTTCTCCAGCCTCGTGCATTGCTACAATTTGGGTCTTTTTTTGTTGTAAGCCAAGAAGAGACTTGCAGCACACAATGACAAAACAAAGTAACTCTGGCCTATTTTAACTGACACCAGGAGGCTGACATCTTACACACTGTTCATTACACCAATGTGACATGTGATGAACCACATTGCATAACCACAAAAGATTACAAATGGTCTATTATAACAAATGGCAGTAGATCACTATTGCAGGTCAACAGAGGTTACTTCCACAATGGGCTGAAGAGCTCTAATTAACAGGGACACATTAAATTCTAAGTTCTTACAGAACACCTTACATGTAACCCATTTTCAAATAGCTGACCCCATCTGCAAGAAAACCAAAGACTAATCACATAAAAGTTAACATTTTACAACTTGATCAGGCTTTATCATCTGGTGTTGTCTAGTACCTGAGATGGTAAATGAATGATAAGCAATGCAAAGATCAAGATAAGAAAATAAGATGAACTTTGACCTGCAAATGAGAGATTTTCACCATACACTCACATAATTACATGAGAGAACAGACACCAACTGGCACAAACATACACACAGTCATACATCAGAGCCTTGCAGCTACTCAGCCCCTATCAGTCCTAGAAGGCACATTATCAGTCGTTCTAAGACTGATAACGCCACACCCAGACACTTGCTGGCATTCTCTTTCTCTGAATATTTCAGGCAAATAGAACAGAATTGGGGACTTCTTTATTAAAAAAAGGAAGTGCAGATGACAAATTGATAGAAAAACCAACATAAAATGTTGTAGTAAAGTACTGTTCCACCTTACTAAGACACTTCATGAGCAGAGCAGCTCCAGAGCAGCTTCATTGCTTCCTTTACATAGATTCTGTCTCTGAACTCTACTAGAGAGATGAAAACGCTCTACCAAAAGATATGCTCTCATTTGGTGTTTTGATGATGGTGGTGGAAACGCTGTCTAAGACAGGTGTTCAAGTTGGTTTGAGACCTGGAGACTGTAAAGGCCATCAGTGATGGGTTGATGAAACCTTGTTGAAACATTGAGGCTTTCAAGCCAACTGTGTTGAATGTGTCACTTGGGACAAGTAGAAATACCACTATACTATATCTTTCAAATTTTATCACATTTTTAACCATTATCAAATATCAAAATATTTCCATAGTGGAGACAACAAGAAATGTCCCATCTCAACACAAAGCTAACCTACCACTAATTCATACTTGCTGAACCATTCAGTGAGCCCTTGCTCCCTGTATGAAGGCTGTAGGTAACCAACCTTTCTTTTTTGTTAAATGTTTGGGTGATTCCAAAGAACAGACAGGAAACTGTAAATGAGTGACAGTTGTCTAATACCCTTTGCCTCCCCCTAGGATTTTTTAAGAAGTGGGTGACATTAGGATGACCTACTAGGCGATGTTACAACACCAATGTGTTGCAATTTGAGTTGAATTTAACTGACAGGCCTGTTATAAAAGTGGCATCTAATTTTAAGTTACATATAAAAGCATTTACTTAACTGTATTGAGGGTGTTAAGGGTGGCTGTATGTTGATACCTACTGACATAGTTCCACTCATAATCAATGCTATGACCATGATGGATCTGTACCTCTTTTGAGATTCTATAGTGGTCTTAGAGGTGACAATGGAAAACGGAACAAACTGTATGGTGGTGCCATATTATGTGTTGTTGCCAGTGTACAGAGCATATTATACTGGGAGCAGAAACACTTCAAGGTCTGGCATCCCTGCTTTTGAACTGGCATTCATACAGCCATCATACTACTACATAAAACTCCATTTAGATAAACTCAAATGTCAAAACAACACAAGTCCTTTCAAAGTTGTGCTTCAGTGGCATTTATATTCTTGCACAATCAAGATAGGGAACAGGCTGGAGAAAAGTCATAATATTTTCATTTATTTATTTTTTTTACATTTGTTTTCTGTCACAGCCTTAAGTTAATAGTTTAAAGTAGATGGTCTTTCTTAAATATCAGGCCTGCCTGCTGGATTAAACACCATCATAGCATATGATGCTCTCTCTGTAAAAATGTGAAAACAGAATTGTAAACAAAATGGGCAAACCTCTGCCTCAAAGAGGAAGTCGAGGTCAAAAGTCCAAATTCATTCTCCTATTAAAAAGTTCTTATGTCTTTTCTTTTTATCTTTATGCCCCTCTCCACTTGGTCTTAGGAACCATTCTTACCACTGTATTTTCATTATGTTTTCTTTCTCAGTCATCTAGTTCAAGACCGAAGTGGCTGTAGAGATCTCGTGTGGTGGTCCCCCTCACAGCAGCTGTAAGACATGCCAAAGTGGGGGTTAGGCCCTTTCAGCAGATTACATGGTCAACTTCCTCATCTTCTTTTCAAATAATCCTCAAAACACTGAACAGACCAAGGCCACATGATAGTACTAAACACCCACTTTAAACATAAGGCCTGTACTTACTGAAAAGCATGTATACAATAAATTCAGTCAAAACAGACCTCTTATCTTAGCCCATCTCTATAGTCATTTCCATTGCATCTTAAAACATAAAATCTGCCTTTTTTTCTTTAACCTTGTTAAAACATAATTTACTGTATATTATCTAATAAATCTGACAAATTAGCCCCGCTAGCTAGATCTCTGCCTCCTTTTATTCATGCAGAACCAAGCTATGCTGAGTTGTGCTGGGCTGACCCTGATACAAAGACCAGTTAGCCTCTACTGTGTTTTCCTATAGGGCTGACAAAGCTGTAACATTTATTGGTGCAGCATACTAATGCACTGTACTGGTGGAATCCTACTAGGACTGGAAATTATTATATTTTGTTGTCAGTTAATGTATGGACTTTAGATGAACTGAATAATAATTTGTCGCTTATAAACGTGAGAAAATGACAACACATGCCCATAACAATTTATCATAACTAGCATTGATGACTTTAAATTGTTGACTTTGTTTGACCAGCAGTGAGAAACAAAATATTAAAACATAAGTGATGTGAAGCAGAAAATAGACAAAATATCACGATGGTGAAGAATAAGCAACTGATTGGTATCTTCTTTTGCCTTATAACTTCTTTTCATATACTCTTCCCCACTCTCCATCATACACATCTTCTCCTGGTTGTCTAACAAGTCTTAACTGTAATAAACAATAGCTCAGCACTTAAGTGGTGCCATTGTTTTTCTTTTAACGCATGTAAATTATATTTGTGCAGTAAGGGTGTGTACATACAGTGCTGTTGGAATAAGGGGCTCTGAAGGTCTGGAGCTACAGAGTGGTTCACTGTTTTGATGTCAGTCGACTTTGCAGGGCAAGACGCAAGACTCTGTTAGCCTACAAGGATTGGTGTTTGCCTTTACTGACATTTCATAGACATTTCAGTTTAGAAAGTACCGTTCATTAACAGTATATGTGAATTTACTAAATGTGAAGAAGGGATTACACAATTTATTATAAACAGAAACATCTGTCAGGAATCATAAATAATGAACAACTTTCAACTAAGAATGGGGAATTAATACTTTCTCTGTGTATTCAAAATATGTGTTTTCACCTGAAACCAAAAATATAAATACAAACATGTCCATCGTTCTAACATCATATGTACAAAATTATCCTCTTCATCACCCACGGTTGATAAAGTAAGTTTTTTTTTTTCATTTCATTCATAAGATCAAACATATGCACAGACTGAACTCTGTTTGAGGGTAAACTTCTTATGGGTGAAACTCAGGTTTTATAAATGGCTTTAATCTTGTGAAAATTTGAATATTTGACAGACTGTATAAGCAAAAAAAGGACAGTTGTAAGTGACAATGACCTTAACCCGGACTGACAGACAGACAGACGGACATGGTAAAAGACAAAGGGACGGTTGTCTTTAGAGGGTACTGCAGGGCATCTCCACTTGTCTCCTGTCTCACTCCACAGTCTGCCCACTGATCTCCTCCCTCTCAGCATAACAGCATACAGTACAACAGCAACTCAGTGTTAAAGTGTAGACTCTTTGTTAAGTGTGTGCGTCTATGTGTTTGAGAGAAAGTGAGAGAGAAAGACAGCAGGAAGGGGGTAAGAGAGGATGATAGCATGTGTTTGTATGTAGCAGTGTGTGTACGTGTGAGTGTATGCATGTGTCTGCATGATAGACAGAGATTGTAATTGTGTGTGTGTGTGTATGTGTGAGTGTGTGTATGTGATGTGAAAGACTGTCATTGTGTCAGAGGGGAAACGCCATCTCCATTCACTAAGAGGTCATTATCATCCTGATTCCACTGTACTGCGATAGAATTTAAAGGGATAGCCAGGTTTAACATTTAAAATTTTATATGAGAGCTCACTCTGTTTTTTTCTACACGGATAATAGCAGAAATGGAAAAAAAGTGACAAGAAATGATCTGTGTTGTTCCTTTGTACATATTCTGCAGATTAGAAGACTAAATTGGAGGGATTTGCAGATTTTAACACCACACACTCAAGCACATACATGCCAAAGTAGGTAAAAAGTCATGTTTGTTATGAATCATGCACAGACCATAATGTGACTTGGCTGTGATTCACTACAACTTTCCAAACAGTGTGAAAGGTGTCAACTTCTCAACAATTTCTCAACCTCATGCCGTTGCAGCACATGCACACAAATGGACATGAAAGATACACAAACTTACAACACTCATTCACGCATTGCAGCCTATTTCTTCATATTGGTGTACCCAAAATGTACATTCATTACTTGCACAGTATGATGCAGTGTCACAGAAATTATGGTGAAAGCTGTAGGGAGAAGTTGAAATGCCAACATGACATTTGATCTCACTCAGAAAGGTAGGCGATGGGTTGACACTGGTGATTTGAAGTAGGTGATCACTAAATTTCCCACCAAAATTATTGAAGTTTCAACAACATTAATATTCATATCATGTCAAATAATGTATTAGAACAATGCCGATCAATATTATCCAACATATCCCTGAACACAGAAAATTATACGATTTTCAGTGGCTGGTTTATTTAAGTTGGATGAACTGGGAACCCAAGTATAACCCAGATGGCCCAAATAAGACAGACACACAACCAATAGCATTTTTCTCTAAAGTGTTAATCTAATGGGACTGAATAGTTTACAGGCAGGCAAATGTAATCTGTATGCAGACGTAATTAAATACTGTCTAAAGTTAGATAATAGACTGGCCTTGACTTTTGCTGCAGCCTTACGAAGTAAACAGTGACACCTCTCTGTTGCCCTCTGGTGGCAGGCTGTAGAATAACTTCGATATCAATATATTGTAATGTGACCAAGCCAAGGCCATCATTTTTAGTTCAAATTTTACCTATATGCAATAGCTGCAATACCTAATAAGTTAACAGTTTTTATTCGGTTGTGTACAGCATTAATTGTGCATACACACAAAAATTCCATGATCTATTAGACTGTGACAACAATGTCTGTATACGATTGTGTGGTAAATCTGATGTTGCCTTTTGTATCTAAGGGTGTCTGCTGAAACTCATCACTGTCATTGAGGTAGTTTTTAATGATGTGATTACACTTTGTTACTGTTTGTTTTCTTAGGTTCAAATCACACCAGAAAAAGACATATTGTTGTATGTCTCATCTAGTCTGTTCAGAGTTCACACTGCCTGATGATAAGTGAGCCATGAAGTGTAAACATGAGTCACATAGACAGACAGACAGCTCATTCAGCTGACAGTTTTGGTTAGCTGTCATCTTGCAGCACTTGTTTTGTTTTTGGTGTGGAAGCTTAGAAAGAAATAGCTGAAAATAACAAGTCATAACTGTGACTGGACTTCATCTGTCACGGCAACAAAAAAGGCCATGGCTAACAGAGGGAGGAGAGAATACATCCTATACATGGCTACCACGATCAGAGGACAAGCGGAGTATTATATATACTGTGGGTGGTTCAAGTTGCTTTCATACCATAAATTTTCCACACCTTGATCCACATGGAAATAAAATTAGACCCAGGCTCTGTGAGACTACACCAGAGTTAGATCAAATCATCAAGGTGGGATGTGAATGTAACAAATTCCGGACTTTCTTACAAAACACTGCACAACCCAAAACTTAGTATTACTGATTCACATCAAGCATCTTGTTATGACTGCAACAGCCTTAACTGACCAAAAGTTAGACTAGTGCAAACTAAAGTGGCTTTTTTGAGGGCTGTGCAGAGACAAACATCATTAAAAGTCGGTAATCACTACTGTATTACCAGAATCACTGTCCAGAATCCATTGCAAATTTAGCAAGCCTACTATTACTGGTGCCTTTAAATTCAACTACAAACTACTGAATAGGAAAGATATCCTGTCTGTATGAGTAATTATCTTACCAATACGGCCCAGGAGTGATTGTCCAATGTCTTTAATGTCATTGTATTCATGCAGCATATCAATATGATGCTCCAGCTCCTCTACTCTGTATCCCCTGGAGAAACACACACACAACTGGTGTCACACAAAAGATCTGTGCAGATGCTCATACAGAGACACAGAAAAAATAAACATCATGAAAAGAGGCAACTCAGATTAATACTGACAAAACTATGTGCAGAAAAAAAGAAAAGAAGATACTGATATGGGCATTATAGGTATTCCAGGGTATTACTTGTGGGGATCATCCCTATCGCCTGTCCCCTAATCCTAAACCAACCCATCAACAATCAACACTACATGCTTAACCTCAACATATTCTATTCAAAAAGGACTTCAAAAACAGAAATACAGCAAGGCAAATACACACAGCTGTACTCACTCAGCCTCCAGCTGTGCTATCTCTGTGTCCAGCTGCTCTCTTCTCCTCTCTAGCTCTGCCACCTCCTCTGCAGGACTAACTTTAGCACTTGTTGCTTGAATCTGTGAGGTGCAAAACAGGGAACCAATATGGTGTAATGCATGTGTTGCATTAAAAGCAGGAGTTGTGTGTGTGTGTGTGTGTGTGTGTGTGTTACAGACATAGAAGGGGTTTACTTACAGGCGATTTGAAGTTGGAGTGTACTTTCTTAAACTTTGAGAATGGAGTTCTATGGAAAGAAGGGAAACTATTGTTAAAGACAGGACATGTTTCATGAGAAAATGTTGACAGAATAACAGAATGAAATGTCTTTGAGGTGACTGGTAACATGTTCATTAACTCTTCAGAAATCACTCCTAACTGTCAGCAATAGCAATAATAGTTGTACTGTGTGTTTTAAGAAAGAGGTTCACAGCAAGACTGCAAACTTCCCACAACAAACTCTCTGTCTCCATCAATTTCCTAGCAATGGCTAATGATGATCAAACCAAGGATTACTCAGATGCTGATCAGAAAAGTTCTGTTCTATTTTAGAAATTAATCAAACTGCATTTTTTTAACTGTTTGAAAAGATTAAGGGGGGTACTCAGATCAACCTCTTGGGGGTTAAAATGTAGATGAATTAATTTTCTAAATGTGACAACAGAGGATAGATAGCTGCTGATTTTGTGGTCAATAGAAAAGTTGTCATCCTTTCACACGTTGTCAAAGTTTGGCCTACTACAGTAACACCAATGGCAGTATTTTCAGTATTTTTCACACATAGAAACCCTGTTCAATAAACAGTGCAACATGTCATGTAGTTTGGGGTTATCTAATAAAGTTACCTGTCTTTATCAAAGGTCTTTCTATTTAAAAAAAAAAGTGGGTAAAATATAGTGAGATCTCGGAGCATCAACAACTTGACCTAAGAAACGTTAATATCAGCCACAGCACATTGTCTCGGGAGGGTCTTGAAACAATAACTCAGCGAGACGATGGGACAGTAGAACTACTCTATGTCGAACATATTTAAAGCGATAATCTTAATCAGTAATGCCTGACATTTAGGTTATCCGACGCTAGTCCTGACGTTAGCTAGCTCGACGAGCTAATGATAGAGCTAATGCTATCTGTAAATTACCTTTTCAGTGCTCCTTTCTTCAAGTCGTTCGCCTCCGGTGTTGAAACTGAACAACTGTTCGCACTACAGTGGGTTTCAGTGGGCTGCTCTATGTTCATACTGCTTTAAATGTTGTTGAAATCTGCGTGACAGAGTCGATTTAATGCAGAGAAATAGCATATGAACAGCGTGAAGAGGAGGAAGTTTGCAGTTCGCGGCTGACGATAAACACACCCCTACTAAAAATTGATTGGTTCTGAAAACGAAAGGCGGGACTTGGTTTGGTTTGGTTACCCCGGTAACCACAGTATGACAAAGACGATTGAGGCGTGCTCACGACATTTATTTCGATAGTTTTGGGAAACATTATTTGCAAATAAACACTCGTTCTTCCTCAAAGTATCACTATCACCATAGACAACAGACAATTGTATTTTGGCTCTGGTATTTTGAAATTTCCACTCTTCTATAGGCCTACATGACATTGTTAATAAGCTAGCTACCAAATTGATGGCACGGTGTTATACTCATGGAAGACATATCATCCAATGGTAAATCAGACAACTTCCAGAGCTGCAATTAATACTTATTTTCATTACTGATTAACCTGCTGATTATTTTCTCAATTAAACATTTGTCCATAATGTCAAAGTAAAAGTGTATATCCCAGTCTCCTACAATCTTCAACCAGAGAACCTTTGTTGTTTTTGATCAATAAATGACCTAAAAGATCAATTATCTGATTATCAGAGCAGTTACACACCCACTTTCAAAACCATTGTCCTTATTGACCACCAGATGGTGACATAGTACTTCTCAATTTGACTTCTTTATTTCTGTCCTCATCACATCTCTCCCTTGATATCCTCTCACATCACTTACATAGACTCTCTCTCTTTCACTCTCTCTGTCTGAAACAACCCACACACTTCTTGACAGAGGAGAATATTGCATAATCATGCAATGCTGTGACATCTATTCTGTTCTAATCTAAACTGAGTGTGGACTGCTCACCAATCAAGCTGCCTCTCAGGCTGATTCAAAGCCACCAGTGCTCTAAAATCTAAATCGGTGATGGATTAGTAAAGCAAAAGGTCATGTTCAATCCACAAAAACACACACACACACACACACACACACACACACACACACACACACACACACACACACACACACACACACACACTTTTCCACTGCATATTGGGGCCAGAGTCTTTCCAGTGCGGTTCACTGGGCAAGAACCAAAGAAAGAAGAACACAGCAAAAAGATTTAGCTCTTAAAACAGATTGAGAGATGGAGAGTATATGAGTGGGAGAGAGAGACAGGGTTCATAGAGACAAGAAGAGGGTTAGACAGAAAGAGAAAGGCAGACAAAATGTGTATCTAGGGGAGTTGATGTTGGGGTGTGGAGGACATAAAATTGAGTCCATTCTTGCTTTATGTCCTCAGGATTCATTGCTTATTTATCAGTTGTTATACAGAGACAGAGAGGGTGGGGAATGAAAAATTCAGACAGGAGGCATGGCCTTTTCTCCTTTTAGAAATCAAACGATTACACACACTGGGCGGTAATGGCTCCTGCATGCAATTTTGTGTGTGAGACAGATTTGTGGAGAGTTCTCCTTATCTCTGACACAGCAATAAGCCTGTGTGTTACTCTATCACATACATACTTTTTTAGTTGTGAGAATGTACCAAGATTCCTGCTATTATGACAGAGATGGGTTTTTTTGTTTGCTTGTGTGTTTTAATGTCACAGCAAACTTAACATCTGCTTTTATTGTTAATGTGGGAAAGGGAGAAGTATCTGTTTGTGATGTTGACTATATAGTCTGAGGAAAGTGCTCCTTCCTAATGTGCTACCAGCCTTTCAAAGTTCTGACTGTCTGTGTTTATTTTTGGGCGTCTGGGTAATGTCCATGTTGGTGGTGAGAGGTCTTGGGAATGTTCTGTATGTTCTGTAGAGCAGCATCATTACAGAAATTTGCAGTCTTGGTTTATGCTCAAGAACGCTGCTGAATCCTTTATGAACATTATTAGAAGTTATCAATCGTGCTCTTGGTGGGTGGCTGCATTATTTGATACTCATAGACTCCTAGCTATACTCTATAGGTCCTTTTCACAGAAGATGATTTGACTTTTCATTTAATGAAAACCACAGATGTTACTAATACTATTAACAATGGCTATGTTTTGCTGAAGTGTCTCAGGAAGCCATGACAGTGTGACAGTGAGGCAGCAGGTACAACACCAGGACCCAGAAACTGAAGCAGCTGAGCTGAATTCAGCCTTCATTATTATTATCTTATTTACTCCTTTGTTTATCCCACTGTGACATGTCAAAATGTCTTCAGTGAAAAAAGTGTATGGTGTGTATATGAATTTCTATATGGTATATTTGGTGTTTGTATTTTCTAAATAACTAAGTCTGTATTTAGTCCCAAATTCACGTTAGTTTTTTGATTTAAAACAAACTTAATGCTAGATTTCGGCTACTTCCTACTTTTTTCTGAAACTCTAAGCACTGAGGAAGGCTGTTAGATGTGGTTGGAAACTCAGGAAAACCATAGCAAGTTGACCTTGAGTTAAGTTTTTCATTTTTTAAACCAAGATCAAGAATGAATGTCCAACTCGACTCAACTGTAATTTGTGACAAACCTGTGCCAATTTCAACGAGGCATTTGTTAATAATAATTTGTGTTATCCTACGCAGACAAAAATAGCATGTAAAAAAATGCAGTTTCCTTTGCTCTGTATTAATGCAATCACAACATGTCTTTATTTTTTATAGTTTGTTATTTTACAATGTTTTGAGCACCACAAATTACTTATTACATATTAATTGTTGGCAATCAAAAGAAAATTTCATATTAGGATTCCAGAGAAGCAAAATTTGAAAAGAGAGGCAGTAGGCAGTGAGAGAAGTGAGTGTAAGGAAAATCTGAGCAGGAGAAGAAGAACAACATGGAAACGAGTGGAAGTAACAGGACAGAAGGTTGAAACAGCAGGACAATAAGAGGAAAGGAGGAGAAGGGGTAGGAAGCTTTGGTTCGAAATATTAGTTGGAAAGCCCCCTATATATCATGTTCATAATTCATGGAATCCCAGCTGCTCCTCTGGGCTGCATCTAAATTCCACTGCTGGGGAATTATGGCAAGGACCCATAAAACAGACACACATACATACGCGCACACACACACACACACACACACACACACACACACACACGCGCGCGCGCACATACACAACATGTAATACTGGAAATGAAGGGAAAGAGAGAGAGAGACTATAAGAGATGCAGTGGACAGACAGAGTGATAGTGAGCACACTGCTACAGGGTGAAGGGCAGATGAGGAGGATGATTCAAAGCATGTCATAAAACATCAATACACCTCTAAAGGCCACGCTACGAGCTCTGCTTACACTGGAGGCGATTATGCCTCTAAATAATTCATTTAGCCTGTGCAAGTGCTTATTCACGCAAATACAGGACAAACACTTAATGCAAACAAATGCAGGGATGCACACATACAATACACAACCGCACTCTCCACTAAACACCAACACACAAAAATGTTTACTCCTGTAATGCGCAACATGCTAGCAGTGAGGCAGTCCAAATCAGTTTACGTTAGTTATGCACGACAATATCAGTTGTGATGGAAGGGTACCGCCACATATCTCCAACCTCTCTTTTCGTCACAAAACCTCAACCAAATCAATATTGGGAGACCTCTTTCCCAACAGCAGGTGTAGTTATCTTCATCCTACTGAAGCCCTCACTTTTCGACAGAGCAAGGCTGGCAGTGTAACGATGCTTCCAGTCTCTAGGTTGAGCTAGAGTATACTTGACATATTCTGTACCTGAAAATGAGATGAAAAGTTATCAGACTCTACATTTGCTTGTAGAATTTTCCCAACACAGGGTTTAGAAAAAAGCTGGTTAGAAAAAGGCACCATCATCGAACCCTTCATTATCTTTCCTGCAACTTATATTCCACTATTGCCTCAAGTGGTCCAAGTGTTATTACATGTAAATTATAGTGACTGTAAAGAGAACAAATAAATACATTTCGAGCCAATTTGTCTTGTGGGTGGAATGCTGGTGTGACAGTAATTCCCTGTTACAGTACTTGCAATTCATGTAGAAATAAGTGGGAGTTTGAATATATCCACATCAAAGGGAATCCATCATAATCTGAAAGGGTTTTTGTGTCTGAAGCAGTGCTGTTGTATTAATGCCATCACAAAATGGCTATTCATGTCTCTGCCAGGGAGGCCTCGGTTTGATATCAGCTCCTCTACGCCTCCATCTGTCTGTGTGTTCTGGGGTATGTTCTATTTCTCATTCATTAGCTCTGACTCATCCTTCTAATAACCACCTCTATTTCCTCTCTGAAATAGTTTTCTGTTGTTTTTCTATTGTATGATTAGTTGCCTTGCCTGTCTGACTCACCCAGTTTATTGTCAGAATAAAGCTTCCTGTTTTCTCCTCTTAGCCTTCCTGTGCGGGTGACTTTTCACTGTGGCGATCATCTCCTCGCCTCTGACAGAGTAGTTTCATCATCACGCGTCCAATTCTTCTTTTACCCTTTCCCATTCAAACACGTCTGCTGTCATGACTCTCACCTCATTGCCTCTGGGCTGACTGGATCTGCATACAAACAGACTCTATCGCTCGGCAGGCTTCACTGTTTTCTCATGTTAACATTTCATCTGTTGCAGTCTGTCTGATGTTTGACTTCAAACATAAAAGAAAAACACATTAGTAGAATCACTGTTTCCCCATTCACACATATTTACACCAGTAAGTGCTTAGAGAATACAACTTTTGGCTGCTGCAATAACAGTAAGTTTCGTCTCTGATTTGAGATGATAAACAGATGTTGGCTTATTAGTTCCATCAACATCAAATAGCCAACATATGCACCAAACAAAGCGGAATTAGACTGCTGTTTTCAGTCTAGGGTGAGACAAATTCATTTTTCTTGCAAAGATATATCCAGACAAACGTGCAGTATGCTATTGTGATCAGTGAAACTAATGGTCTAAATCCCACTTCTGATATTGTGGTCTAGACAAAAAATAAATCTTATACATTTTCTACAAGGTTGCTCGCAGGAAACAGATGCAGCTCTGCTGTTTGTGGTTTGGTGCTCTGAACAAAGCATATATCTCAGCTATCTGATATTTACCACGCGTCTAGCAGTTCACTAAATAAGATAATCCAGGATGATGCACCATGCTTTTAGTTGAATCCACTGTTCAACATTTGGCAGCCAGCAGATATATGGTCCTGTGAAGTCCTGCCCCAGGGAATAACACATTCTCATTATAGAAAATGTCCATTGACAAACCTTTTTATCCTGAGGCTTCTCTTCATATAAACATTACAACCATCTGTTTAAATCTGTAAATTACTTGAATTGAATGAATAACTTCCCCCAGGCTTGAGTATTAATTTGAACCATAAGAGATGTTTTGTCAATTAACAGCAACAACAAAAGAGATTGGAAGGATTTTCACACCATTTTATTAGCAACAATGTGTCTGTTAGTTATACATTAGAAACAAGGACAGAAACATTTCTGCTGTACTGTACTGAGTCTGAAAAACCAGCTGGATCATAAAATAAAGCAAGTAATTCAAATACTTTAAGTTAAAAGCAACACTGCATTTGAATATACACTTGTAATAATAATAATAATAATGATAATAATAATAATAATAATATATTTCTCTCATAATTCTTTATGGCACTAAATTTCCTGTGCAACTGTCACATAGTTTCAGTTTCAAAAATAAGGAAAGCATAGCATTGAGAACTATTTCTAGTGTATTTGCAGGAAAGCACATGTCACAAGAGGAAAAACGTAAAACAAAGTCAGTTACTGTTTCACCCTTTGGGAAAATAAATGAGCATGATGTCTGATAAAATCAACAGAGAGACAGAAAAAGAGAGAGAGAGCGAGAGAGAGAGAGAGCGAGAGAGAGAAAGAGAGAAAGAGAGAGGGGCACAATAGCATTTACCATCCATTTTGAGGGGAAGGGGGAGGGAGGGGCAGTGTCCAAGAAAGGACAATCCAATCAGCTTCAAACTCCTCACACAGCCACCAGTAAATAATTTCATTCATCAAATGTGTGTCCTGTGTCCATAAAACTCAGCCGCTGCTTCCTCCAGTCGGAATATCAGCCCTGCAGCCAGGCCGCTCAGCCAAGCGCAGGAAAATAAAAACAATCCAGAGAAAGGAGTTCTCCGAGTACCTCAGAGCAAGAGCAAATATTCCCCAGTCCAACGAGTCAGAGAAGAGAGAGCGACTGCGGTGTATGCCATGGCCTGTTAAATATTTATAGATGTGTCTTTAAAGGTGAATTAATCTTTAGCCCATGAATCCATATATCAGCAAATCAGAGACAACACAAGGAACGCAGTGAAGAGTCCACAAACTGAAACCCTAAGTGAAGAACTATAACAAAGATCACATTTGTTAAAAGTTAAAAGTGCTGCCGTAAAAACCTTTTGCCTCTGACAGCCACCTACAGCTCGAGCCTGTGTTATAGCATTAAATCAGTAAAATAGACATTTACAACATTGTAGCAAACCCAATTTGAGTTTGTCATATCAATGTTTGGGTCATTCTTTGCATTGACAAGAATTTAGAGTAAAGTGGCGCATGGAAACTTTACCTTGACAATTCACCCTTTAAGATGTTTAAAATGTTATTGCAACCCACCACTGGGTTCAGTATACTTAGGGGTAACAGATTGTGTTCAATTGTATGGAATAAGAATTCTAGTACAACATTCAATCAAGTTATACACACACGCACACATGCATGCAAGCACGCTCACACATATGCACACAAATGCAAAAACCCAGCCCCCTTTGGCACCTAGTCCACCCTGCCTGCAAGAACACAGAGGTCCCTCTCTGCTTAAGTGTAGAATACTGTATTTACACTTTGTGTTGTCAGCAGGCGCTCAGAGAAACCAGCCTTTCGTCAAAATGGAGACCTCTACGAAAGCATGTGGAAAACGAGCAGGGATTTTTACGTCTTCTGTAAGCCCTTTATGTCTTAAAATATTATGGCCTAAGTTAAGTCTATCTAAAATGTCTGTGGGTGGCAGCTAAAACATGACATCCCCGTTCGTTCTCTAGTCTGTCCACTGGTGGTGAGTGACATTTTATAATCTCTATAATCTGTGGATGGAGGAACAGACAGATCATCCCATCATAGGAGAAGGAAACACTGGACGTCTCCTAATCATATTTTGTTTGTAGCAGCTATGGCAGAGAGAAAATCCCTGCCGATTATGTCATTTGGACATGGCGGGAATCTGTCTGTCTTTCAGGCCATTGGTAGAAGAGTCCAGGGGAAGAAGGGCTACACAAATTTTATCAAATCTTAAAACAAATTCCATTCTTTTGTTAAAAAAAGAACTATTCACAACAAGTTCATGTTATTGATAATTTAACATTTTTTAAATACTTTTAATTCTATATTCGCCCAAGTGTAAGGTCCTGGACCTGAGCATAGTACCTTTGAAAATGCTGTCCTGAGAGCCATCTGAGTCCTCCATTCTGCAAGAGGTGACCAGAAGAATGAGACCAGACTACATCAAACAATACTAGACTGGACTAAAGTGGTCAAGATGACATGAACAAAGTCTGACTCAAGCACAGTCCAGTCTAGGCCTTTCCAATCCATTTAAACAGAAACTTACACCAAGTTCCAACCTCGCCCAGCTAAACATCAGTGCTGATGCTACAGCTGCGTGTGAACATGTCCCTCATGGTGACCGACCGGGCAAGGTTTGGTTTGCGATAGTTTGAAATATTCACAGGCACTGGCAGGTCCAGATCCTGCTGCTGGACACTGCGGTAGCTGATCCGGTCACCTCCGTTCCTCAACCCATCTGGTTGGTGGTGGATCTGTGGCTGAGGGGGCTGGAGGTAGAAAGGCAGCTCATAATGTGTACAGGATGGACAGAAGGTCTGTGAACGTGTCAGTTTCCTGGCTAGCGGAGGGGTGGAGAAAAGGGCGGGGCCATTTGGGATGGAGGAGGCGGCGGCCGTCGCCGCCACAATGTTGTGGTTGGAGTGGACCGGTGGGAGGCGGGACGTAACGGCAAAGTCTGGCTCCTCCTCCTCCGACTCGGACTCTTCCTTCTTACAGCAATAATACTGATGTTGGGAGAGGGATGAGATAAAACACATATAGGCTACATTAATGAATCTGCACATTTGTCAACAATGTCACATTGCCACAATTGTCTATGGTTTGCACACTATACACAGAAAACACTTTTCAGGGAAGTAATGTCTGTCACATTATAACCCCATCTTTAACCATGTCTCCATGAGGTGTTTTCCAACTAATCTGATCTTACATGTTCATATGTGTCACCTTATTGAAGATGCAAATCCTCAACAATCACAGTTTATGCAGACGTTTCAGCTGAGAATTTGGTTGCTATTTCTGATCAGCAAAATGTAGCTTTCAAATTCATTTCTGGCATTCCGCCAACTTAAATGAAGCCATAATTTGTGGATCATGTTTGATTTTACTGTTAAATATAAGAATCTCAAGAACTGTAATCAGCTCTAAGTGAAACAGACCATATATAATTTCCCCTCCAGCAAAGTTACCTTAGTTTTCAGTTGATCTTGGTAATTGGATTGCATTTATATTGCCACTTTTATACAAAGCGCTTTACAATTTGCCTTTCATTCAAATCATTCAGTATTCACTGATACACCATGGAAACCAAGATACCATGAATACACCTGAGCCTAACCATCAGCATCATTCAAGGACACTTCAACAGGAGGACTGAATCACCAGCTCTGCGATTAGTCGCATCTGAGCCACAGCTCTTTAAAATAAAGATCACATTTTTAAATGTCTCAGACCGTGTTCAGAGTTTCTGAATCCTTCTGTGTCAGATCTTGCTTTTGCATTACTCTTACAGCCAGATTTGTAAACCATTATATACAGTGCACACATTATATCGTAGACCAATCTTATCGTAATCTGCTTCTTTTAAACACCATTAAGCCATATTTTTGACACTAATGTTAAACCAAATGACTCCTTGCAACTATTTCTGGTACCCTTGACCCCACTGAGAATCAAAACCCCAGTCTGCAGCATTCAGTCACTTTCGGCCAATTGATTGATTTGATTTCAAACTTCCTCTCACCCCTTTCCACCGGATATAAACAGGTTTGGAGAATGAAGTGCAGAAACACCACATCCATAAGATAGAGTGAGAGTCTTGTTCACTATACCTTTCAGAACCTGTTTTTGAGTTAGCAGCAATAGTAACCCTAATAACATCATTATGTCCCATTAATTCAGTTGAGTTCAATAAAATATACTAGTAAATTATGTTATTTCCTATGATATACGTTTGACTATTTGGAGCAAAGCTTTTTAAAAATACTCTAAGGAGATTTTTACACTATGGGCAGAAATTTGGACTTCTTTGATGAGATTATTATTATGTTCCCTCAAGGAAAAATATGTATTTTTCATGTCCCTAGACTAACAGAAACTGATGTAATTCCTGGCAGCTGGTTGGTGAGACCTGAATTTAGTGTAGATAAAACCTAAAGAAATAACAGTGTTTAATGATTGAGAACTACTTGATAACAAGAGTAAGCTGCTCCCACACATTTTTCTGTACCTTGATACCCAGTGTTAAAACGGATTTATTTCTGTCTACGGTTCACATCTAACTCAGTCCCACAGATGTGAAAATGCATTTTAGTATTTAAAACATGTGTGATGGCAGCAGAGTTCCAGTCTATTTTAGCTCTGTTGCTGAAAGCCTCTGGCCCTGAGACACGGGCAGTGGTGGAGTTGGTGCAGATGCTCAGTTGCTTTGTCTGAGTGGTTGGAAAGCATTGTGATTTGTAGGGTTCACTTTCGGGGCTTTTAGATTGTTGCAATTACAGCTTGTACAGCTGCACATGACAAAGCAGATTTGGGGTAAAGGTTAAAGCAAAAGACTGACCTTTTGAGAAATGACATAATTTTTTTTTATTCGAGATTGATTGCTTTGTAAAATAGTACCAAAATTCACCTACCAACCCCTTACAACAGCTTGATGTAAGGGAGGTAATGTGCTGCCAGACAACCAGGAACTTACAGGTCACATAATCATCCATAAAACAGAGCATTGTGGTTTTAACACTAATTAGTGAGCTTTAAAGGTGCTGATAGGTGGATTTAGTCACCATTTTACAGAGCCAAGTTAACCAGCTTTTGTTTTGTTTTTTTGCTAAGCTAAGGTAGCCATAAATTTAACTGACAGCTCCTATATGAGGGTGGTATCAATCTCCTCATCTAACTCTCCAGCATAGAGTGAATAAGCATCATATTTGCCAAAAATGTCAAAACGCTCCATTAATAAATTTACAAAAATGTAATAGGTGTAGGTTGAGCTGTCACTCAGTCTGTTGCACATTCTGTGTGCCAAAAAGACTGTTAATGCTCCACTGCTGTCAAAGCAGCAGAGGGGATTAGTCCAGTGTAACATACAGTATATCATGTAAAATAGAAACAAATCCACATGTTGGAACAGAAATCTGCAAACTGCAGTAATGCTCCCTAGTGGTGTTATTAGTGTGATGTTTCAACCTAACAGGAGTTTGTCAAGCATAAAAAACAGGGAACTTCTTCTCACCTGATTCTGTTTTCATTTTATTCTGACACAATACAGAGCACCTGGCTAAGACCAGTTATCTGTAAAATAATAAAGATGGGCACAACACAATGGGATTTCCTCAAGTCTGTAACACAGCTAATGTGAGATGAGGATCAAAGAGAGGATTAGCTAAACTTTAAGAATTTGTAGAGAAGACCGGCTTCAAACTGGAGACACACTGAGGCAGATGTGCTGATGAAAGCTGAGTGCTAACACAAGTTCGATTTTTGCTTTCTGGTGTGAAATGACAAATATTGGAACTTTATTGAATATTTGGCCTTTTATTCCTCACACTGCTGTAGTAGTTTTGGACATTTTCTATTCTATCAGCTGTAGAACAGATGATTCACTTGATGTTCCAGTTGTCATCTATCCCTAATTTGATGGCCAGTGGGTTCTGAGTCCTGAAAACCAGGAACAACAACTGCTGACACAGAGCTGAGTTTTTGCTTCATTGCCATAAATGTACATTTTAGCCACACCTTGGCTCGATGGATGGCAATGCCCATTATTTGGATGGTCGGCCCACCACTGTGTACCAGACTGAAATACCTCAACAACTATTGGAATGATCACCATGAAACTGACTTTTCGTCTACCGCCATCATCAGGTCAAAAATTCAATTAGTTCAATAACTTGATATATGATCAAAGCTAGTTAGCATCATCATTGTGTGCATCTTATTATGCTGATGCAGAAATGACTGTACTTGTTGAAGTATGGATAGCATCATCATGTGGATATTTATAAAGCACTAAATGTTTTGGTTTGCAGCCAAATGCACATGAACGGTGCCCATATTAACTTTGACATTTCACCTACAAGTGGCACCGTAGCAATGTGATTGATTTAAATGGCCATAACTCAATGGTAAGCAGAATGGCTTAAAATCCACCCTTGTGCAAAGCCCTAACACTCTTGAAAGGGCTTTATAAGTCCTCCAAAAACTACTACAGCCCAATCAGCATGACTGTCTATCACTGAATTTGGATGTGATTCTGAATACAGCTGCAAAAAAAAAAAAATCCATTAAGATAACAGTTTGGAGGATTGTGCAACCTTGGCAGTTGCACAGACACAGAAAGATGCTCTACCCAGAAATTTAAATGTTTGGTTGAAAGAAAGATTTTATCATCCTTTGTAACTGAGAGTCACAAACACAGTTTCACAGATTTAAAAAGCGACTATACAGCCATTTAACACAATGCTATGACCATCAACAAAGAGCTTACCTGCAGCTCTGAAAACGTAAAGAGAAAAACCAATGAATGTAACAGAGTCATGCAGCATGGGGCCTCACCTGCAGCCTACAGTAGCACAGTACTGCGATGATAAGGAGTAATATAACTGTAGCTAGAATTCCACCAGTGATGACCACTGTCCCGGCTGTCATTCGAATGGCTCTCCATCAACACCCTGCAGAGAGCAAGAGGAGGGAAAGATGACAGGACAGGGACAGAGAGAGAGAGAGAGAGAGAGAGAGAAAGAGTGGAAAAGAGCAGCGGATGGTAGGGAGTGAGTGAAAGGAGAAATGAAGAAGGAGAAAGCATACAATTCATCAGTACAGTGGCTTCATTAAGTAGATTATAACTGTGTGTCATCTCAGTGGTGCTTATTGAATTATCCAGCAGTTAGGAGACACGTAATTGAATCATCCTACAAATGCTGTTCATAGTAAAGACGGGATCTCAGACTGGGACACAGGAAAAAAAAAAAGAAGTGTGAGAAATCAGCGTTCAACGGCAAAAAGATGAGATGCAGAACTGACAGGGGAGCTAAGAGGTAAATGGATGGTGGGAGTGAGGGGAGCTGAAGGGAGAGACCAGGCAGTAGAAACGAAGACGGAATGAGCAGTGAACTGACGTGGAGCGAACAGGAGAAAAAGGACGTCAAGATGAACTGAACAAGTCATTTGATGAATGGATATGACATGGAGAGACAAAATGATGGAGGGGATGGAGACGGTGGTGTGACACAGATGTGAAACATAAACAGAGGGTACATGGAAATGGAGAGGAGTGGATGAGAGAAAGAGGAGATAAAATTGAGATGACAACAAAGGAAAACAGGGTTATCGGATGACTAAAAAGATAAGTATATCTTAACAAAACAAAAGAGGGAAGAAAGAGAAGCAATTTTCCTGATATTTAGATTTGGGAAATATTCATGCAAAACACACGGTTGAATGACAGGTCAAAGTAGATATTTTTATGCACGCCCCCAGGATTCACAAATGTCTAATCTGTGAGGATTTTGTTCATGCTCTCTTCTTAAAATCTACTAAAAATATATCATAAGTCTATGGTAAAAAAGCTCTGAATTAATGTAGCTGAGCCTGTTTGGTGTCACAGCTGAGGTTTTGATTTATGTTTCACTATGTACCTCTGATTTCAAACATAATACAGAACTGCATACAATAGAACAATGTACACCAAGACACTGAATGGAGAGTCCATGGGCAGATGTATAACAGGTACTGGAGAAATCCTTGGTCAGTGGTTACACATTTGTACCTGATGCATCAGCTGTCAGGAACGCAGCCAATATGTGGTCAATGTATTGATGTATCAAGTCAGTGAATGTTTGGGGTCACTCCTGAAAGGGTTTTTCAAAGTCACAATGAAACAGCATTTTGAGAGTATTGCTTCCTTAATCAGATTAATCTCCTGATGAAACAGGGATCATTTAAAAGTCTAGACCAAGGGGATCTCAGGTGAAGGAGAGAAAAACAAACGATCTTCTGAGATAAGATGCATGCTGTGATTCAACAATGAGCACAAAGAAAGGTTCAATAGACACAGAAAGGTATAAGGTATAGTGCACAGCAGACACAGAGAAAGATTATTATGCATTATTCAGCTGGAAACAGATAACTGGACAGCTGTGGGTGACCTGTGAGGTCTGACCTTAAATCAGAGGTCACAACAAAGACAAATGGAGATGGTGACCCTGAGCTTTAAGTTAATTTTCACCGAGCTCAGCTGAATCACATGTGCAGATCTACGTTTAGTGTTATCTATATCTATTTTGTTTCCGTGTGATTGCACTCTTTCTTTTTGTTACCTGCTTATGTGCAAAGCAATGTATGTTTCATTTGCATTCATTTATCCTACGTAGTGTAATGTAGCTGTGGGTTTAGCATGCTTCCCTGAGCAACTGCCTTCTTATCAGTCATAATGTATATGAGAAACAATTTCCTCAAACCGGGTAGCTGATATTTCTTACAAATTGAACACTGGGAAATCTGTGGCAGACAGTGGTTTCACATGTCAGATAAAAGAGTGAGGGTGAAAGCTACAGTCCACTACAAGAACATTTTCAGCAGTATGACTGACTTGAGGCTGAACTGACCTCATTCTCAGTTTAGTAGATCAATGCTTTCCTTTAATTACCTCTTTTCAGTCTCTACAGCAGCTGGATTACCATAAGATGCCCTGAGCCTAGACGCTTTAAATATTCATTTTGCTCTTGCAAGTAATGTACATTAATCACAAAACATTTGTCGTTCAAATTGTCAAAAGTAAGTCCATAATTTCTTATAAAGCAGGAAAGTGCCAGTGTGTTTCCATCAACAACTCTGCGAACTCTTTCCTGTTCACTTATAAAGAACAACATCAGTTAAAGAGGGGCACCACCGTATAGTAAATCCTGTATACACACACACACACACACACACACACACACACACACACACACATATGTATATATATATAAATAAAAGGATGGAAAATTGTGATTTCTTACAATATTTTGATGGTAAAAGGTGTTTTTTCCCCGATCCAATAACCCAACACAGTTTGTCTTGTTGGGCTCTCTTACTGTGGTAATTGGCATATCTCACTATTGTAAAAGAACTATATTTGGTTCTTTATCTTTGCACAATTGTCGCCACACAATGATTTGAAAAAAAGCACAAAACATCCTTATATATTTGGGAAAAATCCTGCAGATATTGTACACATGTGGGTACAGATCTTCAGGCCTTCATTACATCCACAATCTGGAAGTGTCATAGGACAACGCAATCACACTGCATTGTGGATAATTGCCTGAAACCAAAAATAGGCCAGCAGGCTTGTTGCTAAGCTATGACTCAATGGTGCAAGCCATTATCAGCACCAAGCACACAGCAGTATAGGCTTGTGTTGTCAAGATCTAACTCAACTGTGACATGGACACACCCTAAAATAGAACTGCTGAAAAAAAGCCATCACACAAAATATGGAGCATTCTGTTGTAAATGTCATCTTACTTCCTGCTATAGCATTTACAGTGGCGTTCCACTTTGCACTTTTCCACACCTGATGCTAACAAAGCTCTCCAGCATCATCCATCAGCCTTCTCACATGCACTTCACTGTAAGCCAGTGTGTAGTATTCACCAAAATACTGACAGCTCTGACCTTCTCACCCTGAAAAACACCTAAACCATGTTGAATTCCTCTGTGGGTAACTTGTCGAAACCATATTAGCTTTCCTGGTGATATGCCTCTCCAGAGATGCTCTATACAGTTAGAATGGATCAGACCGTCTCTATAGTAGCCATCTGCCCTGTCTACAAACACAAGGCAGCTTCTCTACCCTCAAGCTGTAATACATCTGGACTCTAATCCAATCTGCAGGCCACACAGTCCACCAACCAAATCAATATAAAGGAACAACAAGAACAGAGCGTTTTGGCCTTAAAGGGTTTGAGTTAAACTGAGGAGGGAAATGTGGGTGACTTTGAGACATTTGGTGTCAGGAAAAGAGCAAATTGAGGAGTAGAGTCTGAAATAGTACTTGAAGTACTTCATGCAGGTGAAGCTGAGAGTCATTGACGTAAAGCACTGCAGGCCTCTAATCAAGTCTTTACTTAGTTAGTTAGAACTTTATCAAATATTAATAAGCTGTCTATTGATAATGGTGGGCCTAAAGCTACAATAAATAATAAATCAAATGAAAAATTATCAGTGGATCAAATGACTAAGTGCTATGTGAAAGAGTTCACCAGTACCGACAGAGAAACATCACCCTCACTAAATCTGCAGTTCCCTTCAGCTCTATGGAGAGTTTCAGCTTCAGTTTTATGGCCCACAACTTCACTGTTTTGGTTCACTCTCGCCGTTCTTATCAGCGTTGTTTCCAACAGCAGCAGGCAGCTGTTTTCAGAAAAAGCTTTGAAAAAACCCACTGTGCACCACCTTCCCAGCACCAAACAGCTGGTGAACACAGTGGAACATTAAGCCGCTAAAGAGCCAGCTATTTTTCTGAAGTTGCTAGAGACTAAAATAGGGCTAAAAAGGAGAGTGAATATTGGTAACACTACTCCATATGCTGGATGTGTAAATATGCAGCTATTTATTAACAAGGTTTTATAAGGTCATAATATGTTAATGTTGTGTTTACAGCTCGTTCCAATGCCCCAAGTCATCAAAAAAATCAATAATTGCTACTTTTAAAATACAAAAAAATAATAAAATGCATGAACAATTATTTATTAATTTTTAAAGTTTAACAGCACAATGAAAATATGAGTCAAGTTAAATCACACACAAATATTATGAACTATACAAGCAATCAAGCAAAAAAAAAAGAGAAGCTTTATTTCAGAAATTGAACTGCTGGATAAAAGATGGTTTTTGAGTGGAGGGGACCTTTAAAGAAGAAAAAAAAAAGAAACTGTTAAAGTGAGAGCTGTATAGTAGAAGAGCCTAGGAATATAAGCAATAACATGACACCAGGTGGATAATGTCTCAAGTGTTGCACCATTAACCTTGGCTGTAGATTTAGAAGACATATATAAACAATGCAGCCCACAGTCTGCTCATAACAATACTCCATTCAAACCAACTTTTAAGAATAATCTTTTTGTGCAGCTGCTGAAGCAGCAAGAATTATTAATTTCACTGAATATGGCAGTATAATATTTGGGTTGTGACCAAAAAGCCAGAAGGCTGGGCAAAGTGGAATATGTTTATCAAGCAGATCTACTAATGTTTCAACAACAATGGACCCAGAGAGACTTCACGGTTACACAATCCCAAAAGATGTGCATGAAGGTTCCTAGTTCAGTTTAATTTATAGTTCCTAGTTCCTAGTGGGAACACCTACTGTATCACAAAGATCAGTAAGTCTCAGTCCAAAACAGTGTTCCAGTGTAAAGTAACTCTATGTGCAAACTTAAAATCAATCAGTTGACGAGCAAGGTTCTTGGAAGAAAATTTTTTGGTTCAAAAATATAAAATATAATTATGCTTCAGTTGTTATACTGGCAGACGAGTCCCATTGTAATACAGTATGGTGATATGTCTGTGTATTACTATTGCAAAAAACAAAAAACAAACACAAAACTACTCAAAGACTCATTTTCACACCTGGCACTAAAATGTGTCTCGTATCCAGATTGCATGTGGAAATGATTTTAACCTGATTACA